CTCGACCAACCTCATCGTTGACCGTGCTTCCTTCCGAATAATTGATCAATATTGGGACTTTTCGACCATATAACAGCTCAAATGGCGTCATTTTGGTCGACTCGTGATAAGTGGTGTTGTACTAATACTCAGCCCAATGCAGGAAGTTTTCCCACTTCCTCGGAAATTGATGGACATAGCACCTTAAGTACTGTTCAAGAGTTCGGTTAGTTACCTCGGTTTGTCCATCTGTCTGTGGGTGATAGGCTGAGCTCATTGATAACTTAGTCCCTTGCACCTTGAAAAATTCAGACCAAAAGCTGCTCATAAAGATCCGATCTCGATAAAAAACAATAGAATGTGGCACCCCATGCAGCTTCATCACATACTCCACGAATAACCTGGCAATTGACTTTGCTGTGTAGGGATGGGTGATGGGTATAAAATGAGCATACTTCGTAAGTCGATCCACCACGACCATAACACCATTGAACCCATTAGAACTTGGCAACCCTTCGATGAAATCCATAGTGATGTCTTCCCAAATTGCCTCAGGTACCGGTAGTGGTTGTAGCAGCCCACTTGGTCGACACAAATCAGCCTTAGTGCGCTGACAGTCATCGCAGCGTGCGATGTAATCCCGAACCATACTCTGTTGCCCTGGCCAAAAGAAGGTATTGGCTACTCTCATCCATGTGCGATAGATACCCGAGTGACATCCGATTTTAGAATCGTGGAAGTGCTGCATGATTTTCTCGTGTAGCTGCCCACTGTCGGGAATGAATACTCGGCCCCGATGTAGTAGTAGGCCATTGTGCAGCTCGTAATCAGTAGCAGTGGTTTCTCCTGCTTCAATCCTTTGGCGCAACTCCTGGCAATAAGTATCCTCTTCTTGCGCCTTTCGAACTTCCTTCCAAATGGTCCACGTCGGTCCGGTGATAGCATTAAGCTCAGCTACATCCGTCCGTCGGGATAATGCGTCAGCTACAGCATTCTGTCGACCTGGCTGGTAGACTATCTCAAAGTCAAACCCCATAAGTTTCGAGACAAACTTTTGCTGCTCGGAGGTAACAATCCTTTGCTCGAGTAGATGCTTGAGCGGCTGCTGATCGATCACGATCTGAAATCGACGCCCTAATAGATAAGGCCTACAGCATCTTACAGCCTCGACAACTGCTAGCATCTCCTTCACGTACACAGATAATCCCAATCGAGTTGTCCCAAGTGCCTTGCTGAGATAGGCCAGGGACCGTCCTTCCTGCACTAACATGGCTCCAATTCCAACATCACTCGCATCTGTGTGTACCTCGAACAAGACATCAAACCTTGGCATTGCGAGCACTGGCATTGTACTCATGTCGCCCTTCAGTTTCTCAAATGCCTCCTCGCTAGCCTTGGTCCATGTGAACCCTCCTTTCTTGGTCATCTCCGTAAGTGGCTTGGCGATGGTTCCATAATCCTTCACAAACTTCCGGTAATAGCCCGTGAGCCCTAGGAATCCTCAGAGCTGCGTGAGACTTGTTGGCTTAGGCTTATCGACCATAGCCTCTATCTTCCGTGGATCAACCTTCACGCCATCGTAGGATATAAAGTGACCTAGGTACTCAACCATCTCCTACCCGAATGAACACTTGGACGGCTTGATGTGGAACGCGTTTGCCTCCAAGACTTCGAGCACCACTCTTAAATGCTCTAGATGATCTAACCATGACTTTGAATAAACCAGAATATCATCAAAGAATACTAAGACAAACTTACATAGGTATTCTTTGAAGGTGGAATTCATAGCAAATTGGAAAGTAGATGGGGGCATTGCACAGCCCGAACGGCATCACAAATTCTCATAGTGCCGCTGGTGCGTACGAAAGGCTGTCTTAGGAATGTCGGCCTTATGGAGTCATATCTGATGATATCCTGCTCTCAGGTCGAGCTTTGAGAAATAACGCGATCCAGCCAACTCATCGAGCATGTCGTCGACACTAGGAATAGGAAATCGATCATTGATAGTCGCGGCATTCAAAGCCCGATAGTCAGTACAAAACCTCCACGTGTCATCTTTCTTTTTAGCTAACAATACTGGTGATGAAAACGCACTCGAGCTATGCTGAATTAACCCAGACTCTAGCATCTCAGCTACTTGCCTTTCAATCTCAGTTTTCTGGAAGTGAGCGTACCTATAGGGATGGACGTGCACTGCATGTTGCTCGTTGACTAGTGGTATTTGGTGGTCGAACTCCCAGTGAGGTGGTAGTCCCTTGGGTTCGCCCAGCACTCCTTCGAATTCCTCGAGAAGCTCGCGCACATCGCCCTGTTGTTGCTCGGCCTCCTCCATGAGTGTATTCTTACTCTCGACCACAACTGTGAATATTTGGCCGCCACTTCGCCAAACCTTTTCAATACTCTTCAACCCAACTTCTTTGGTACCTTTTTCAGTGCCAGCACTTAGTGTGACTTGCCGACCTCTAGATTTGAACTCCATAACTCCAGTTCAGTAGTCGGTGGTCACCTTGCGTAATCCTTCAAGCCATTGTACTCCTAGAACGACATCAGGCCCGACCAGGGGTAAAGCATAGAGATCAACCTTCACAGTGACTCCTTGGAACTTAATCGGCACCCTGCGAAACGATTCAGTGCATTGTAGTCTTTCCCATTGGCTACACGAACTTCAAAGGGCTCAATTTTCGTGGTTGGCAACTTCAGCTTCTAAGACAAGTCAACATTAATGAAATTGTGAGATGACCCGTTGTCCACGAGTACGATCACCCTACGATCCTTGACCCACGCTGGTAATCGCATCGTCCTTGGTCCTTTAATCCCTGCCATTGCGTGCATCGAAATTTCAGCTTTCTCTTCCGGCACTTCAACCTCGTCCTCTTGATGTGGTTCTTCCTCGACCTCAGATTCCTCTTTATCAAAATTAGCAACCTCTATCACAAAAACCTGCTTACATTGATGGCCTGGTGTAAACTTTTCTTCGCATTTAAAACAAAGGCCCTTCTCACACCGGCGCTTGACTTTCTCGGGGGAGAGTCTCCTGACTACTGGCCCTTCCGGACGAACGA